TTCAATTTGGCACAGAGAGCCTCAAAACACACTATTCATATTTTCAAATGGCTTCATGTGTGGTATGATGTGTGACAAGAGGGATAGTCATCTAGTCGGCACTTAGAATTTCATAAATGCCATCACAAGTATCTGATAGGTTTTTTTATATCTAAATATATGCAGGTTTGATTTTTAGATACATTGAATGATGAGGACCACATTAAAAAAACACAACTAAATTTGCAGGATGAATTACAGCGCATGTAAAGAATAGTAATGAATAAGTGAAAGCGAGGAATAAAATCTGCCTTTGAGGTGATTGATTGGTCCTGCAGTTCTGACGCCACCTGAAGTGAGGTTAAAAGGAGTTTTGTCACAGGGAGGCTAGAGGCAATGAAAGTTTGTGCCTAGTAGCCTTTTTACCTTTTTTTACCTTTTTTTTTTTTTTTCCTGTGGAAGATCAGTCTGTCAAACTAAAAGAAAAATAGACTTCCTGTCCATTACATATACAAGTCCTTGAATTATCTTTAGCATTGCCTTTTCACTGAACTGTGAGACAACTTAATTTGAAATTACTCTTTTTGGAAATCCTAAACCCTTGACACATTTCATTAGGCACAAAATTATTACAGTTATCAGTTAATTTGTTTGAAGACTTGGTAAACACTTGTTACAAAGAGTTTTAGAGACATCTAGTAGTTAGCAGAAAAGGGAAGCTGTCTCCAATCTTTAGTTTATTTACTTAGCACTTATTAAGCACCACTTCTGTATCTACCCAAAAAAGAAATATTTTAAGCAAACCGTAAAAGTAGGCTTGACCCTTTCACAGGCACATCATAAATCAATTGTTAAGGCAAGGGTGAAAACTCTGAAAGAGGTCAGAGGTGGAAGAGAGGTCATCTCTGAGAAGGGACAGTGTGAAAATCCTGAGGGGTGGAGCTTAGCCAGAGATAAAGGCTAGAAAAAGGAAATTCTAGCAGTGGTAAGGTTCTTACACCATGAAAATGCCAATAAAATCATAGCTATCAGAGTGCTGAGATTGTTCACATTTCATTTCTGAGCCTGCAGCTCTAACTGCCAGATAAATGATGCCAGGTCCTCTGCCTAGTGATGGGACATTTTTGTAAGTGGAGCATTTGCTTTTAGTCATACACAAAATCAGTACACTTCTATCTGTTTCTCCAAAATTTTACCATTTCTTCAGCTAGACTTTGCTCGACCTAGCTGACATCAAGTCAGAGAGGTTGACCTCAATGACATAACAAATTCTGTGAGCAAACTTTTATAACTTGGAGCAAGCACTGTATGTTTGCTGCTATTCCCTGAGAAAGCAAGGAAGTCTACATTTGTTTGACTTCAGTGTTTTTGTCTTCCTGTGTTAACTACTGGTGCACTGCCATGTTCAGGACTGAGACTCCATACAGACTTAGGGAAACTGTATAGTGGCCTGAGATGGAAATAACTCTCTTAATACATTTGGAATAGCGTAAATAAAGCACTACCAACCACACTAATTTGCCACTTTGTCAGCTGTGGTTTCATCTCAGCGTCAGTCAAAAGGCATTAAATAGTGCAACTGTAAGATTTGTTCAGTCTTTTACCAGCCTCACAGTTGTTTGTTAGTTTTGGGGTTGTTTTGTTTTTTTGGGTTTTTTTTAATGCAGGTTTTAGCTCAAACACAGAATTTCAATGAAGAGCTCTATTTAAGCATTTGTTTCATTCAATAGACTAAAGTTTAAATTCCCAACAATTAAAGTTATTCAGATTTAAATGGGAAGATTTCCTGATTGTTTTGTAACCACAAAATTTATAAGTCATAATGACATTCCTTCACTTTGTCCAGAAAAAACAAAGGCTGATTTATTTCCTAATAACAAAGGCAAATGGTTAGGCTGTATGAAACTGCTTCCTTATTTTCAATGGGTCAGTGCCAGGCTGTTAGGTATCTTTGAACCCCTCCTCCCACCTACAGCTTTCCCCTGAAGCAAAGTCCTCCAAAACATTACCAATTTGTGGAGCACTCCGCTTGTTGAGTTTTACTGGGCACCCAGATACAGTGCACAGTCTGATACCTGCACAGTCTGTCGCAAGAGACCTGCTTGATATTCATTGTCAGCATTGATTGCACTGGGCTTACTGAAACACAGCAGAATGCATTCATCTGGCTAATGTATATACCTTCATTGATGCTGCATTGTGATGTAAACAATGTCCTGTTCCTTCCTTATAGTAACCTAATTGACAGCCAGGCATTTTGAGTGCTCAAAAGGGCTATTGTTGTGGTGAATGCCGTAACAATAGGATTTCATATAGGTTGGGGCTTAAGGAAAGTACAATGTCCTTTTTCTGATATAGAACCAAGAATTGTGTACTGGTCAAGAGTGGGATAATAGGTTCATCATGGAATTGAAGCTTTAGCTTTGTTGGGAATCAGCCACATATTTTTATAGATACGCTTGTTTAAAATCCTCCCTTTGAATTAAATGCATATATTGTCTCTGTAGCTGTATTTTTCAAACCCCGTATCTCTTACTCCCCTGTCTGATAGACTCACACAATGTGAAGCTTTAAACTACACTTACTGCTATGTGTTGTCAGCCAGTTGTGAGTCCCCTGGTGACTTCTGCAAGGACCAGAAGCAAAGCAACACAAATCACACCCTTCATCTTGAAGAACAATTTTGTAATGATATTGCTAATAGCTCTCCCCAGAAGTGAGAGTTTTAGGTACAGGGTTACTTCAACCACTTAATTATAAGTGTTTTCTATTCTTTGCCTCCCCCTGGAGACAGAAATTCTTCTTCTTCTGTCTCGCATATTGAGATACTGCCAATCACAGACTCTATTTCAAAATCTGGCCCTCAACCTCTGGAGTTGCAAGAAAATATTGAAAAAGAAATTTGAAAGAAACCTGATGTTTGGAAGGATCTCAACTAAATAAAATTATCTTCACTGGTTACAGCCTAATGAGGGTATTGCAGTGCCATCTGGTTATTAAACTTGAAGATGTTTCAAGTTTAGTGGCCACATATTCCATAGGGACAGAGGAATCAAGAAGAGGTGGATGGGAAACCATTCTTAAAACCTGTAATGAGCACAAATCAAAGTGGACAAGCGGTTGTCATTTGTGCTGCTTCAGAGGTTGCTCCCACACACCAGCTGGTACTGAACAGATATTCAACCCACCCAATTCCTCTGGCTGAATTCTTGAAAGAGCATTTTGAAAACCTCCCTTCCTCATGAGGATGTTTAGTTTCCATAATTGACAGGATTTTCTTGAATACCCCAGGGGTTTTGCCCCTATAGAAGTCACGTGAAAAGAGTGCTGAACATTCAAAGCCTCATCTGAAATCAGTCGTTTTGGCTGTCTCAAGTAAGATAACTTTTTCTCTTCTGATCAGTTAAAATTATTTAGGCTGAGATTCTCAAAACTCTTAAAGCACCTTAAGCATGCTTTTCCTACTGAAAATGAATGGGTCCTGTGTTTTCAGGCAGAAATTCAACAACACGTGAAGATCCAGTCTCTAGCATGAAGTGGGACAACAGTATAATCCTATAGACATGGACCCTGGCAGCAGTAAAAGCCCACAACTCCTGTTTTGCTGGGTTCCAACAGACGTAGAATTTATGTGAAGTTTGTACCTTCAAGTACATGGAAGTAAATCAAGCCCAGATATTGAGATCTCTCTCTGTCTATGTATGTGTTCAGGAATGTGTTTGAATGTTCTTTTCCAAAACACAACATATTTAAAATCATGTTTTTCCCACACATACATTCATATGGTCAAAATAAATCTTCACATTGATTATTTTAATTGGTTGAATATGTTTTAAGAGGTGGGGAAGAGTGGGATTTGCAATATTTTCCTGCTCTCCTCATGGGCATACTTTTAAGTCCACATATGCAAACACCTTCCTCTCATGCTCTCTTTCCTGGGATTCCTGAAACAAACTCAAACAGCTTTGCAGAAATGTTTCGCCATCTCAATTGCAGCTGGACTGTTGTGATGACGGCAGCTGCTAGGTGAAGGATGGAGAAGCTTTTCTTGGCATCATTGCCAAGTGTATTAGGACAAGCTATCTGCAGATGTTGAAACTTGATTTGGGTGGAAGAATAATTTCCTATTAGTATTATTACTAGGGATGGGCAGGTTCACATTGCCTGAATGGGCTCAGACCCAATAGGCTTGAAAATTCACTAAATATTATTTTGAGTATCTCTGGAAAAGGAGTAAAACCATTTTTTGTCAGGAAAAAAAAAAGAAACAAAATCTCTAGTGAAAAGACATAATCCAGGGCAGAGGACCCGATGCAGTGAAACAGAAACAGAAAATCGTAAATAAGCCCAGGCCGTAGTATATCTGTCTCCTAAATCTACCTTTCTATAAGTACAGCAAGGATTTAAAGACAGGAACTGACATCCTACAGCCCTGCTATATAACTGTTTAAAGATCCTCTAAGAATTGCAAAATAACAGGAGAGAATAGCTCTGAAGCAGTCAGTTGTTTTGCCAACCTCTGATTTTTGAAGTTGGTAATATTTCATCTGCTTTACATGTGGAAAGTTTCTCCCCAGAGCTTAGCAAAGTCAGTAACAGGAGAGCATTGCAGGAGATTGCTGTGTCGTGATGGAAAAATATTAGTGTTGATGAGTTTGAACTGCAAATGATAGCTATGCCACGTGTATAGGTGGCACCAGGATAAGCAAGCTTCATTTGCATCGAAGCTTATGTTCAAACATAAGAGCACACATATAGTGGAAGCTAAGTTTTCAAGAAAAAGGCATAATTTAAAAGGGCAAAACAAGGAGTAGACCCAGTCATGCTTTAGTCATTAGCTTTTAACTTGAAAGTCAACTTTAGAGAAAAATGGTCTGAAGAAGAAGCTATCTCAGCAGGAAAAGGTTGAAAATGGAGCATGACATTTATAAAACAGCCTCTGAGAGAGCAGAAACTCTCCCTCAGACATACCACAGGTTTCCACATTTGTCTTGAGCAAAGTGCAACATGAGGAGCACGCGTTTTACAGTTCTAAGCATATTTAATACAATGTTTTTACAACAGCTGTTGCTTTCATAGAACTTTAACCCCACTGTGTAAATGCATCACAGGGAAAATACTCTGTTGTCTTGGAGACAGCCTTTGCTCGCAAGTCCTTTTCCAGCGAGCTGGTGTCAGCTTTCAGCTCCGGCTGCATTCCAGGCAGGCAGGCACATCACGGCCTCTCTCTCCTCTGTCTTCATTATTGGCCCCGCTGAAGGACGGAGGGCTCAGGAATCCGGGACAATTATCGGAGCTTCGTACCCACGGTTTCCATCAGCACACCTGATGAGGAAACGGGGAAAAAAAATAAGCCCCAAATAGGGAAGGGGGGCAGGGGCAGAGGCGTGGAGTTTTAAAATTATTTTCTGACCTCAATTATTTTAATTTCCCCCCCGCCTCTTGGTAGTGTTTCGTTTATTACTTATCAGACCAGGTATAGAGCCAGGTGTCCTTTTCCTGCTAAATTTAAGCCAATGTATTGTCTTAGTTGAAAAGTGTTATGTTACAGCTGACACTTAGAAGACCATCGGAGATATCGTGTGACAAATGCCTCCAGTTAAAGGACCTGGGAAACCTCTCCTGTCTTTGAGAAAGGTGATACCAGCTAGTGACTTGACCCCTCCAGCTCTCTAACGTATGTGCCCACTGCTACAGATACACAGCAAACATTGCCCTCATTACTAATTTGCAGACACAGCCCAAAAATGTGTTCTAAAGCTCTGTCCTCAAAGCTTTAGAAATAACTGGAAAATTTTCTTAATCCAGAATATGTGTTTTCATGTGTTCTAGACATATGAATGTGCTTGAGATGGTTGTGCTCTATGCATGAATAAAAATAGTAAAAAATGATGCTACAAACTTCACATATCATCACCAAGTATCAAAGATGTTTTTTCAAAATGGTGTAGCTGGAACTAATCCTGCAAAGCAGTGAATGCCCTTAAATGCAGTGAATGTTGAAAGGACCTAGGTCTCCTGAAAGAATACTAAAGATCTTAAGGAACTAAGGCCCAAAATCTATTAACCTCTCTGTAAACTGCAAGGTGTGGCCATAACTTTGGCTACCTTTCAGTCAACACTGCTTTCCTTCATGCATAAGCACAGCTTAACTTCCACTATATGTGTGCTCTTGTGTTTGGACATAAGCTGCTGCAAATGGTAGGTGATGTAAAGTTAATGGAAATCTAAAAAGTACCTATTGTTTGTCCCTGGACATCCCAAATCCAGAATGCAGCATTTAATTGCAGCCTTTAGTAGAAACATGCATTTCAGATCCCTTGCCTTAAATTACAATTCCAAGGCATATGTTTAACATTAGGAGGTTTCTTTCCTGAACCAGAGCCCAGAAGATTAGCTGAATGTTTTTTCTAAAGGCTTAAAAGTAAAAATTCCCAGTGTCAGAAGAGTTGTGTGAGCAAAGATCTGAGGGAGCCTTTTGTAACATCAACGGTGCTTGACTGGAGTAAAAGCAGTAAGGTCCAACATATTGTCCTCTCTGAAAGAGAACAGCCATCAACAGAAGTAAGAGTTTTGGCTGCTAAACAAAATTGGGATGGAATCCAGGACTGGGCCTGCTAAGAAGCTAATTCAGACAGAGGAAAATTTTAGAGCTATGCAGCATTAAAACAAGGAAGAGGTCATAGAAGAGCTGTGGATCCTATAGCATTGCAGGAATCTCTTTCCTGGATTAGGCTATTTGTATTTTGAATTTTAAGTTTGTATTTTGTCTTGAGCATGGCACATCACATTGATTCATACCTACTGATGCTCACGAAATGTTGGTTACACAATGGGGAAAGAGGAAAGATGCCTTCAGCACAGGTCTAGCTTAACTGGCACAGACTGAATCAATATCTTCTACTCACAGACAAAGGGCCCAAGAGGCAGTTCAGTCAGCTCTACCCAGCCAAGAAATGTGCTGCTCTTACAGTGCTCCTTTTGCAGTATTTGCTTGCCCAAGACTAATGATGAAGAGCCCTTCAGATGCAGAGCTACATGAGCCAGCAGTGCCTAAGTCTACTCTGCTGGCAACCCGGGGTCACAGCGCGGCTGTGAGACTGAGCAAAGCCAGCAAATTCTGCCAGCAAGGAATTTGCCTGCCTGGGCTGGGCAGCCAGAGCAGCAAGTACAACTGCAAGGACTGTAGTGCATGGCTTTACCATCCCCAGAGCATCATCTGAACTAGGCTTTCTACCCATCTCTCTGCTCCTGCCCAAGAAAGGATTTGAGAGCACTTGGTGTGATACCTTATTCCTGTCCATCTCTGATGATTTTGTCCCAGAGGCACACCAGCAACTGATTTGTGTCTTCCTTAATTTTCTCTTTCTTCTGCTTAGTCTGCTGACACCAACAAGGAACAGCAAAGAGCACCGAGCATGATGATTTTCTTGACGCATCTAGAGCCACAGCCTGAGGCCCAAAAAGTAAGGGTGAGCAGAGGGTGTTAGCTAAGAAGTGTAGCAGATTTTTAGCATAGGAAAAAACTAGAAGAATGGAGACAAATGCAACGCAAATGTACCCAGACTGAAGTGAGGAGGAGAAGGCCTCTTAGAAGGTCTGTGCACATCTGTCCAGAATCTAAAATAACATGCCACATTCTGCAACTGTCGCACGCCCACCCTGAATAAAGGGGTTCATTAGGAAACTGAACTGGCAAGTGCTGTCAGGCTAAAGTATATGGAGGAGAGCCACTCTGATCTGAGTCACAGCAGAATTAGCACATACTTGACATTTGTGTGTATAGCTTTTCTGTTAGGAAGGTCTTCTGACTTCAGTGTCACACATGTATTTGAACTGAGCCACCTCTGACTTGGGAAGTACAAAATCTCTCTGAGTTTCTGCTGCCAGCTGCAATTTTTGTTTGTTTGCTTGTTTTGGGTTTTGTTAATTTGTTTGCTTCTGGACATTCAAAAGTGCACCTAAGAGTTATACACTAAGCAGGTAGAAGGTTGCAAAGGCAGCTGCAAAAATTAATGTGACACTTCAGTTGCTCCCAGTGAATACTAAGCCAAGGTGAGCAATTAGAAATATATAGTACCTAATCACATCCATTTTGTTTTTGTAAAAGGGTGAACCTTATCTGGGTTCAAATGAAAACATGCATGTGAAAGGTTTGTATCCAATCACAGACTATACAATCTGACATATTTCTAGTCAATGTGAAGCAACCCAGCTGGAACACTGAGGCACTGAACGTTCCCAAATATGCAGGGAGACAGGATTATTAATAAATGCATTAGCAATAAGCTTGGCTCAGTTCAAGGTATTATATTTCAAAATAGACTTAGGGGGTTTTGTGGTTTAAAACTGACTGAAGTGAGATGGTTGTGATTTATGCAATGCTAACTGACATATAATATTTTTTATAAATTGCACTCCTGCATTTGTATGTAGTTAGAAGCAAAGATGTCCCATTATTTTTAAGATGGAAATAATTCAATGTCGGAGTTATATTCTTGGAATTTCAACTTGGCCTTTCACAATGTTTAACTGGTTTAAACATATTATCAGAGGTTGACCTCTGATATCTACAGTTTCTTATCATCCATGTCTGCTGTCTTTGTCGTTTTTTGGTGCAGACTCCTAAAAATCTACGATAAAATGTTCAAGACTGTTTAATTCTCTTGGACACAGAACATCTAACCCCATATTGTCAGTCAATATTTTTTCTTTGGTACTTTCTTTCTGGACTCCAGAAAGAAAAATGGGTGTGTATAGTTCATGATATGAAGTCACTGGTCAACAGTATTGAGATTTTTCCATCCGTTAGCAAAATAGCAAACAAATAAGATAAAAGATTTTTAACCCTAGTGCATGCTGAAGCAATGCTATGCTATTTCTGTGGTCATATTTTTCAAAGAGAAAGGACAAAAATCCTGAGCTTTGAAACTAGATGTTGCATCAAAACTTTTCCAGCCAAGAGACTAGGTTTCAGCAACAAAAGAAAAAATGCAGCAGGCTGTATGTCCCATTGGAAGACCTCAAAATGCCTCACTGCATCTGATGCCCTTGTCCAGGTTCCAGCCAGGAGCGAGTCTCCAGGTGCCCTTGCTGGCTCTGCAGCAGCCTGGGTCGGGCAGAGCAGCCTGCCCTGGGGCAGAGGCAGAAGGAGCCATTCAGGAGCTGGAGCCTTCTTTCCTGATGCCTCTCCTGACAGACCAGTTAACTAAACTTCTAGGTCAAAAGTAAGACTCTTCCTGTTTGACAGTGTGACAGGGCTGTATGTTATTAGGTATTGACAACAGATTATTTCAGTGGCCTTTTCTGGGGATGTACCTTTCAGGTTAAAATAAAAAAAAAGAAGTTTTGGATTTCCTGGCATGAGAGCCATTAATATCAGATAAGATAAAGTGTTGAAAGATATCTCTTCTGAAACCTATGAACTAGTGAAAAAGAGATAAATTTATTTTCTGTGGAAGAATCACCTGCAGAAGTGATGAGTTGTCAGATCAAATTTGATGCACGACTTCATTGTTTTTTGGACTCTGTGATCTCAGAGGTCTTTTCTAACTTAAATGAGTCTGTAATCCTGTGATTTGTTGGACCAGTTGCTGAAATTCTTGTGCCCTATCATCTGCTACTGGTGACAAATCCATCATCAGCTGTCAGATATTTGGGAAATAGGTGGAACTCAGAATGAAGTCATTCACGCCTGTAGGTTTTTAAAGACAGTCTTACTGATGTTGGCCAGTCTAGGGAGTACAAATGTAAAGGGAAGGAGGAGAATCCTTGTTATGTGGGTGTTTTAAAAAGATTTTTGCTTGACTTAAGCAAAATGAAAACTCAGATCACTAGAATCAGAAACAAAATTATTTTCATGCGATGAAGCATTTCCGTATGAGTTTTCATACTTTTTAGTAACATTACATACCGAAATACCATGTATTATCATTTGTAATCATTTAAAGAACATCATGTGAAATGTTTGACACACAAACAGCTTCTCAGGTGAATTTAATGCAGATGGAACAGCTTTAAGAAACAGGAGCAATTTTTTTTTTTTCAGCAAAAAGACCATTAGATGCAATATATTCCCCTTTTCCATATTAATTATCCACCAAGGGCTCAATCAGTTACACAGACTCAAGCTGAGCACTTGTTAGAGCCTGTGGGACCCTTGCCAGAACTGGGATTCCAAGGCTGATCCCTCAGGGAAATATTGTAACAATGGTGCTGTGCTGAAAGACTTTTGAAGGACAAAAAAAAAAAAAACCACAAAAAAACCCCAACAAAACCAACAACCACAGGAAACCCTCCAGGTACTTCTTGTAATTAGATACTAATTCAGTATCATTTTAAAAAGCAAAGATATAATTACCTTCATTGTTTCATTCGGAATGCTGAAAAAAGCCCAAAACATCCTGGTTTTGAGCAAGCTCCCCGTGTGTGCTGAGGAATGTGCAATACCTGCTCAGCTGGTCTGGATGGAGCTACAGCTGAAGGATGACTGAGTCTTGCGCTGGTCACAGAGGTGGAAAAAGCATGTCCAATGGAAAAGGCATGTCATGTGCAGACTAACCATGGGTCCCAGCCATGCTGATTGTTCTGCTCATGGCTCCGCCTTCCCCTTTGCTGCATTTCTAACACACCAAATGGTTTTCAGTCTTTGGAAAAGTTAGAGCTCTAGCACAGACAGTGGTAACTGTAGTGAAATTACTGCCCTCAACACCTGTTCCACAAATAACAAGTGTGTCTAATTTCCCTTCCTGAATCACTGATAATCTCTGACCTGGACTTCCATACAGGTACAAGGGTGTTTTGAGAAGCAATTTGCATCAGAGTACATGAAATTCATGTTAAATAGCATCTATTTTTATTTAGCATATGCTTTACATACTAAGCATATGCTGATGAATGATTTCTGGGTTTGTCAGTATCTGTCACTAGAATTACATTATCATGGAACCAAAGCAGTGAGGAGATCGTCAGTCTCCTGAAATGTTGTGCATCTCATCAGCTCTCATTATTCTCATTAGTTCTCATTTGCAGCAGCGTGAACTTCTGGCCACAGAAGGAGCTCCTTTCTAGTTCCACTAGGTAATATTATTTGTTTGGTTTAGTTAAGAGAGTACCTTTAAGGAAATTTCCTAATCACTCCAACACATGGAGTTTCAGATTACTGACTGGTCTCAGGGCACAAAAAATCATTTCTCTTATGGTTAAACTAAAGCTGAGAACATCACTTAGCAGCCTGTTGACAGTATTCCCATTGCTAATGGACATGTAGTGCAAACAGATCAGAGCTACTCTGAAATAAAACTCCTGAAACACATCTGTGGTGAATGTCATCTACAGTACTGCTCATGTTGTGCTCTAGAAGTTGCTCCCTTACTAGGTACACAGATGTCAGGATCATTGGTGTACCTTAGGTTGCTTCCTGTGAATGTGTGATTTTCTGTTCTTCTGTCCATCATGGTGTCAAGAGTTCACATTGTATCCATACAGGATGATTGTAGATCATTCTTGATATGACTATATTTTAAAATGCTATATTTTTTTCCTAGGAAGGTTCTTATTTGTTCCCTTTGTCTCAATGAACTTGCAACATGACAGATATGCTCAGCTACTACCACCTCAGACTTTTGCTCTGTGTGGCTTTACCTTCTCTTTTGGCTCTGAATTGACTTACAGATTGCATTCAATAACAGCTTAAAGATAACAACTGGACAATAAAAGCTAGTGAACCTGACAATGGATTAACAAAAAAATACAAAAACACTATGCAGAATATGTCACTGTCTCTTCAATTCCAGCAATCACTTCTCAACTATCCTCAAACTGTTGACAGACTTTTCTGCTGTATTTGCTTATACAAAATGTGCCCAGCAGCCAGCTATCTGCTTTTACCTCCTGGGAACCAAAACATTTTTTTTCTTTTAGCAAAGGTTCTGTTAGGATACATCCTGATCTTCCCTAGTAGCAGAAGATATGTATCTCCTTCCCAAAAGCACAGCAAAGAGAGCACCTTGCCCATCATCAATGACTTGAATGTGCCAAATGTTCTCCTAAGCTAGCACTTGCTTTTTGCTAAGCCATGCAGTTATATTAGAGAGTGTTCTGTGTAACCCACGACTTAACAACATAGAGCCTTGGCTTTTAAATTAGGATTTTGTTATTACAATCCTATTGTTAGCCACACGTGGCAGTATTAGAGAGATACTATTGTGTACTCTGACTTTGTTAGGAGATCTAAACCCTGCCTTTGATGCCATGTGGTGATAAAAAGTACACAAAAGCTTGAAATGCAAATACATTAATCTATATATTGCTCAAGATTTAACAGCTTTTGTAGGTCCTGGAGTATAAGACAGGTTGTCTTACATGCTGCAGTCATTATTGCCTCAGCTTATGATGCTTAAACTTAGTTTAAGATGCTTCAGAGGAAGATGCACTGAGGTAAAAAAAAAAAAAAGAGATGCTATTTTCACTCAGTAGTTTATGTAAAATGTTAAATTTCAACAGCCTACTCTTGTGGAGATTGATAGAGAGATTGTTTCAAATATTTTAGTACAAAACCAAACTTTCACTACAAACAAAATAAGCAGCTACCGAATCTTCTTTTCATCACCAAAACAAACAAGCAAACTAAATTTTACAAAAAGCAAAATTTTACATCTGGGAAGTGATCTGGAATGAAATGGCAAACACAGAGTGGTTAAGCCGGTAATTTCATATATTGTCTTACTTTATACTAAATGTTGTTTGAAATATAGTACTATGGAGGCTTGATTTACACCTAGAATTAGGAATGTGCTCACATGCTACTGTTCTTTATGTATGGCTTTTGGCCCTGGCCAAAAGCATCTGTTTCACATGGCAGAAAATTGGAATCAAATTTACTTGGTTTAAATTAGTTCATTATGTGCTAAGTAGTGGTTTGGAGCTGTGGGAGCCATTGAAATGTTTTTCTTGTCTATAGAAATCTAGGAAATTACCTAAAGTAAAGGTGGAAAATATTAACTAGTGCCAACAGAACTTGAAAAGAATGGCTGGAGGTGTCAGGTCTTCACTACATGAATCATGTCAGATTAGTAACTGCCTTTCCTGAAGTCCACCTGTAATGGAGGGGTTTTGATGAGAAATAGATTTTAAAAATATGTGAAAGATAAATGGGGATATGAGTTTCACTTCATGCAACCACAAGATTTAACAAACAACCTTAGGTCCACAGCAAATTGTAACTGCAATCCACCTATTTCTTGGGACTCATGAAGAAATGCAAGTAAAAAGGATGTTCCTGAAGGAAATTACTATTGTAATCAGCATTTCAGTAGTTCTGCTAGAAGTGTTTTGCTGTTATATGGGATACATGGTTTCTAATGAAAATCTGCTTTTACAAAAAGTGCACTTCAGTGGTTTGAGTGGGAGCTCAGAGGTTTTCTAATAGTCTGCTTTCATGCCATACCATCTAGGAGGCATGGAGAAGTGGTGACTCTGGCACTTCCAAGGAGCCAGAAAATCTAATTATGAGCGATCTCACAGTATGACCACCAAGTCTCTGATCTCTGACCACTAACAAGTCGTGCATCGGGACATTTCCAGACACTGAAAACTCACCCTAAGCAAGTGAACTAGCTGGCCAGCTATCTGAGTGATGTGCTGAAAAACGTGTTGTCTCACTGATGAAGGAAAATAAAACTAAATCCAAGTTTAAAGATCGAGGCATCTATTTTTCTTTTCTAATTTTAATTTTAAAACATTTCAAGCTGAAGCCAATAAATGTTATCCATAGAAAAACACAGCTATTGAGCAGCAACCCTTTGTCCAAGCCACTGTTCCTCTTCAGAAGAGACTGCAAAGCAATTACTTACCAGTTTTTGGGTTACCAGGCTGCAGAACAAAAGCTGGTACTGATTTCTTCTCTCTCTCAAAGCTGTTACTTCATCATACACAAGCACCAGTATTTATTTATGTCCTCAGACACACCAACCGTGAGTCTCATCAGCTCTCTGCTCCCTTTCTGAACACCCTCTCTGCTAATTCTCTGCAGTCAAAGCCCTCAAGTCTCTGGATACAACTTTGGTCCCTCCTCTACTTTAGTTCAGTAAAACCTCCCACCTACCCAAAAAAATCCAAAAATATATTTGTCATCAATAGGAAGGATCCTAATGGCAGAGGACATTGTTTTGCCACCTAATAAAACCTTGTAGTGTTGCATGCAGAGCCTGTCTCTCAGGCATGAGAGGGGTGTAATGTATTTGGGAAGCACAAAGGAAAGCAAAGTGCTTAGGTTGTCAAAGCAGTACTCTTAGCAGAAGGGTTAGGAGGGCTGCGACTCTGGTGCAGAAAGAAGAGAGCTGACACATCTAGAAAAATCATAAAAGGAGTGAATAACTTGAATATGAGGATTCTGTCCAGTAAATCTCACATTGCTAGAGCTAGAGGACACTCCATGACATTTATGGATCACCTTATGTCAGATGAAAAGGCATTCATTTACAGAGCACACAGTGAACTTCTGGAACTTGCTGCCAGAGGAGGGTGAAAAGGCAGGTAGGACCAGCAAGGCCTCAAACAAGAATAGGAGAAATTTGTGTGCAGTATCTGTAATCTATATGTGAACACTAAAAAGAAAAGGCAGGGATATAGCCTACCTCACCTCTTGGTGATGCTGGGAAAGAAGAAGATGAATGGCTCCAAAGTGTCCAGGCTCACAAACTCTTCTCCAAAATAGGATCTTCCCGTGTGGATAAACATCTTGAAAATTGTCCTGAAGCTGTACACGTTAGTGGCATTTAGCAGAATACTTGAAAGGTTTCATCTGTAACACAGGCTGCAACACAGAAATCCATAACAAAGGCTCGAGCTTTCTAGGACATAGGTGGAAATTATTCCTTTTTCCTGGAATTATTTCCCTTTTCAAAATTGGGAAAATTTTGAAAAGGGAAATAATTTCTTGCTATGCAGTGTCTCTGAAGAAGAACTGTTGTTCTGTTCCTATGGAGACATGTCTTTGGCCATATCCCAAATATACCACGAGTGTCAATATAGTGTAATCATTGTTGCTGTACCTCTACATACCTCCTGATAGTAAAACACATTGAATTCAGCTAATTTATTTTTTAATCTTGGGTATTAAATACTCAACTTTTTTCCCCCTGGTTTTAGAAAGAGCTATTGCAACCTTTCAGCCTCTCATTTCAATAGGGGAAAAAAATAAAGCTTATTAATGTTTCCCATCCTCAGATGTCTGACAATCTTAAGTAATTCTTACTTATCATGGACACAGGATTCAGAAAAGAA